TCAGTCTGGGTCCCCACAGCGCCTCCCCGTGCGGCGGCGGCGGCGTCGGTCGGCGGGGGGAGGAGGGGGGGCAATCGGGGAGGAGACCGTGGAGGGAGGGAGGGAGGCAAGGAGAGAGAGGGGGGGTCCCTCCTCCGCCTCTGCCTCCGCCTCCCCCCCTCGGCCGCGGCGCTCCCCGCCGCCCCGCCCCGCCGCTCGGCCTGGGCTCAAGCCTCGGGCTGGCGCTAGCGCTGAGGCGGCGGCGGCGGGAGGAGGCGGCGGCGGTGGTGGTGGCGGCGGGCGAGCCTCTGGGAGGCGGCTCATGGTGCAGCCATGTTCGCTGGGCGTCTGTCTGCGCTCCGCTCCGCTTCCTCCCACAATCCCGTGCTGAGGAGGAGGAGGAGGAGGAGGAGGCGGTCGGGCGGGCGGCTGTGAGGGGATGGTGGGCAGGCGGGGAGGAAGGGGCAGGGGCGCCGGAGATGGAGGGAGGGAGGGAGAGTCTGCACGCAGGAAATGGAGCAGGAAGGAGGAGAAGGAGAAGCGGGAAGGGGGGCGCAAGGCTGGACGGAGAGGGCGCCCGCAGGGGCCGAAGGACAAAGACAACGGCGGCCGGAGCGGGCAATGGCCGAGCCGGCCGGGGTGAGGGGAGGGAAGGTGGACGGGCGGAGGGGAGATGTGGGGGGAGTTGAGGCGGGTCGCGGTGGGTGGGGGGGAAGGAGCCAGAACAAGCGGGAAATGATGGAGAGGGGGCCAGGTCAAGTAGGGCTGGCGGGGTGGGGGGGGCAGAAAGGGCAGCAAAATCTGGGAACTTTTTCTCCCTTTTTTTTGCCGAGGTCTTCCCCGCTTTACTTTCCACGTGTGAACTTAAAATGCCGACAGGGGCCAGAGTTGGACCGCTTTTTGCTGGGAGTTCGTGGAGCGCGCGGGGTGGCTCTCCACGCCGTTTCCTCTCGCGGCTTTGTGTTTTGTTTTGTTTTTAACTCCCCACCCCCGGTAATGTTTGAAGGGCATTCGCATATCTTAAAAAGACGCGGTGAACTCGGCCTTCGCAGCACTGATTGGCTAAGGCTTCTCTCTTCCTCCCCCCCCCCCACCCCACCGGGCGTGTGTTTTCCGACACGTGGGGATGCCCTTCAAAACGTTACGGCGGAGACGAGAGTCAAGCCTTGGCTGGTGGGGAAGTAGGAGATCTGTGCAAGGGCACTCAGGGTTGCTTCACACAAAGGTGTAGGGAAAGGTACAACAGTAGTTCGTGCTGGATGTTTGGTTCCTAGCTGTGTGCACAGGTGTATAGAAGGCAGGTGTATATGACTTCAGAGACACTACTTTCTCGCGCCCAGTAAGTGGCTTCAATCTCACGTCCTGTGTACACACTATGAAAACAAGGAGTACACTGCAAGGACACTGTGAAGCTAAACTATGTGCCAAACTAAAATACTAAACTCCCCTCTGTGCTCTGTCCACATACACAGATCGAAATAGACACTCACACAATTTTCATAAATGACAGTGTATGCCAAGGTGGCTAACCTGTGACACTCCAGATTTGATTTGATTTGATTTGATTTGACTACAGCTTCCATCATCCCTAACTGTTGGCCATGCTGGCTGGGGCTGATGGGAGTTGTAGTTCAGTAATAGCCCCCTCTGCGTTATACCAATGACGTGTGAAAATTATTGGCTTCCTGATGCACTCCTGATTATCACTCATAAGGTAAAGGTACCCCTGCCCGTACGGGCCAGTCTTGACAGACTCTAGGGTTGTGCGCCCATCTCACTCAAGAGGCCGGGGGCCAGCGCTGTCCGGAGACACTTCCGGGTCACGTGGCCAGCGTGACATCGCTGCTCTGGCGAGCCAGAGCCGCACACGGAAACGCCGTTTACCTTCCCGCTAGTAAGCGGTCCCTATTTATCTACTTGCACCCGGGGGTGCTTTCGAACTGCTAGGTTGGCAGGCGCTGGGGCCGAACAACGGGAGCGCACCCCGCCGCGGGGATTCGAACCGCCGACCTTTCGATCGGCAAACCCTAGGCGCTGAGGCTTTTACCCACAGCGCCACCCGCGTCCCAGCTGATTATCACTCATATTAACGTGCAAAAGCAAATGTAGAATCTGGCAATGAAGCCTTACAAGAGAGCAAGTTACACAAATGCATGGCCAGTCGCTTCTCTCTGAAGGTGAATTGGTTTTAAGACGCAATGGTTAATAGACCATAGGCAATCGACAGCTTCGGCTGGAGGGAGGATGCAGGTCAGTTAAAAGACTTTAGCCCTAGATAAAAACAGGTCTCAGGCCTGAGCAGGCCATTTTCAGCTCAGACTTGAAGTTAAATGGCCTGTAGCTTGCTTGGTCTCAGACACAGCAAGCTACAGGCCGTTTAAATTCAGGCCTGAAAGCACCCAACTCATCATCTTAAAATGGAAATGGGGAGGGGTAAGACCCAAGCCCTGTTTACTGACTGCAGCAGAGCAGCATTCTGATTTTGCCCAGAAAAAAGCGTATTCAAAAGAATCTGAGTCTAGTTTTCAGAATGTTACAACCCCTACACTCCCTGCAGGTATTATGGCTACAAAGGAGTGGTTTAAATCTGTGCCTCCATTCGCTAATTGTCAGGGACTCCAGAGGTTGAAACCTCATGGCCTGAAGCTGAGATACACCCTAGCGAGGCACCTGGGTCTGTGTGTGCTCAGCCCACTATAGGTGCAGACAGAAACAGTGGTGTGCAATGTCAGCTGCTGCGATTGGAAGGCTGTACAAAGTCTCTGGATTGGCCTGTCCCTCTGCTGTCTAGCTGTCAGCAATGTAATATGTTCCCTGTGCCTCACTCTAGCTGCTGACATCAAAGAGTTTACTCAACTGGAGAACACACTCTCCAGGTTGAGATTCAGATACAGCTCTCCCACCCCAACTCCCTGGCTTGGCCCCTGCATGAATGCTTGCCTAATTGCCTTCCCATTATTAGCTTTCTGGTGCCTGCCATTATGTTAATTTTTCAACTGCTTTGATTGAGTAAACCACCTTGGGTGCTTAAGCAAAAAGTCTGAATAGAGGGGGGTGCCCAGAATTGCATCTCTTTTCTCAAAGCTGCAGTTGTGCATCCGTGTGTGTGATGTAGTGGGGAGAGAACTAAAGTTTCTAAATGCTGTTCCTAGCTTTTATTTATTTGGAAGTCATAATCAAGGTCCATTCGGTGCAGAACATGCCAGTGAGAGTCCTGCCCCTTAACACACAAACACACAAAGAACTTGGACATGGCAGGTGTGTGTGTCTTCTGGTTGTGAGAATTCACTGCCACAAGATGTAATGATAGTCACCACCATGGATGTTGTGTTTCTTTCACCAGTCTTTACTGGAGAGACAGCAGAAAGCTGAAAGGGAAGGGCGGAATCTCAGCGGTAAACTTTGTATTGTGTTGTATTCAGAACACAGGTTCAGTTTGTTGCATCCTCAGTTGAATGGCCAAGTAGCAGAAGACAGAGAAGAGCTGCTGCGAGCCAGAGTTGACAATAGTAGGCTAGATGGAGCAACAGCCGAAGGCAGCGTCATATGCCTAAATTTGGTACAAACTAGCCAAGAGATCGTAGCATAGTTGTGGCTCTTCTGTACTATTCGGAAACTTGGAACAAATACATCCTCAAGAGATTAAAACCTTGATATTTGGAATACGTGTCACTCAATATACTAGACTAAAGACTAAACACAATATACTGCTTATCTCTATCCCTGTTTCACAGCTGTGGTTGGTGCTTCACTTGGGAGCAAGCCAAAGCACACATGTGATGGAGTACTATGCTGTGTTTCCCGCTATTATACACCCTTTCCCAAATCCTCACATTGGCAAAGAGTGCTGCAGTACCCCTAAGACCACCTGAAAACTGCGGATGGTGAGCTGCTTAACGTTTTCCCCGCCTGTCGTAGCAATGATAATGCACTGTGCTAGATGCTGTATGGTTTCGAATTGTATTTTTATTGCTTCTTTTATGTTGCATTTTATTGCATTGCAGTTTGCATTTCATAGAACAGTATAATAAATAAAAGACACACTAAGAACACAATTTTAAAGATCAGTATGTTTAATGCAGACCCAAGGGCCGGGCCCAAGAGATTTTGGCATCGGAGGTGAACCAAAAAATTCCTCCCTCCCTCACCAGGGAAGAACGGGTGAGCGAAGGTCTATAACACAAAGGGGGGAGGAATGAAGATCCTCATCAGGATCTACTGGCTCTGTGGATCCTTCTGCCTGAGGCGGTTGCCTCATGGGTGGAGCAGCCTTCTGTGGACCACCCAAATGAAGCTTACAGACCATTGGTGATCCAAAGAGTCCCATTTGGGAACTCCTGTGCTAGAGCAATGTCTCAGCTGGCAAGTCCTGGGCAACCTGGTACCCTAAGGCTAGTTTAATAATAATAATAATAATAATAATAATAATAATAATATCTTTATTGTCATTGCCCCCTCTCGGGGACAACGAAATTACTTGACTGCTCCATAAAAACACTAATTAAAACAATACAGTATAGTACAGCAAGGCAGATTAGATGACTTTCAAAGTCCAGGCTTCCCATTCAGGGCCGAGATCGCTCTGGAGAAGAAGCTGTTCTTAAGACGGCTCGTTCTTGTCTTCATCATCCGTATCTGTATCTCCGTCCCGACGGCAGAAGCTCGAAGAGACAGTGACCAGGATGCGATGGACCTTTACTATGTCCAGTGCCTTCCTATGGCACCTTGTGGCATAAATCTGCTCTAAGGTGGAGAGTGGGCAGCCAACAATGCTCTCTGCTGCCTTAACAACTCTGCACAACCCCATCCTGTCCTGGGTAGTACAGCTTCTGTACCACACACATAAGCCATAAGTGAGCACGCTCTCAATGGCACAGTGATAGAAGGCAAGCAGCAGTTTCTGCGGAAGATGGTTTTTCCTTAGAATTTTCAAAAAGTACAGTCTCTGTTTCTTCCCGAGTTTAAGTGAAACCTGCCTGTGCCAAGCCCAGACCCAAGAGCTATTCAGACAAGAAGGACAATGACAGAATAGTTCAAATTTTATTTTCTACAAATGCCACAATAAAAGATTCACAGATGGCTCAAGTTATTTTGGTACATTCTTGTCCACACAGCAGCGCTATCTTCTCTCCCAGAAGTATAAAGGTGTGTTATACTGTGCTCAGGGTCAAGCAAGCAACACTTCAGGACATGTGAGTGGAAAAGGATGGATGGATATGAGTTTAGCATATGTGCATGCAAACACCTTGTGCCCATTTTACTGGATGATAATCTTCCCTTCCTGGACATCCACACAAATTTGTCTGACGACAGCTGTAGGCAATGCATGTAAACATAATTTGCTCCTCTTTACATCACCATAGAGGTGTATTTGCTTTCTACAGCTGATCTGTATATTCTCACCAACCTATGTCTCCCCTTCCCTTTTAAACACCTTTGCATCTGCCTCTAACCCGCCTGCCCACTGTATTTCTTCCTCATTCCTTAATTTTTTTCACACTTCTCTAAATATAAGTGGGGGTGGTTCAGCTTGCATTGCAAAAAAGCCCTCCTGCTCGAAGCCCTGGAAAGCAACTGCCAATCACAGCAGAAAACACTAGGTTAGAAAATACTGACCCGATACATGGCTGCTTCCTGTGTGCCCTGTGTCATTGTTAGATATGGACGGGATGTTCTCTAGATCAGGCCTTGCTCCATTGAGGATGCAGGGGCAGAAGGCCGAGCTACCACTACTTATACTTATGGAGAGACTTCATACCGCAAACCAACCACAAGGGCAGATGGTTATACACTCCTCTTCCCTTCTGCATCTTAATAGTGCTCTTGAACACACCCTAAAGGCCCTAAGAGTTATTGTTCAAGCATACTCTGAGAATTATTTTATCAGGCATGAAAACAAGCAGGTATCCCATCCACCCTCTGTCAAACTCTAGCTAGCGCATGCAAGCCATGACAGAAGAAAGACACAGCTATAACAAGGCTTGTTCACATGACACAGGTGGTGGGCAGGAGGGAGGGATTTGTGTCAGAAACCTGCGCAAATGCTGGATTCGGAGCTGTAAATTTGGTGATTCATTTTTATGCCAGAGTAGCGGAGAACAGCCGTATTATTCACATTTCAGATTCTTATTCCTCAAACAATATAATGCAGCTTTCTGTCTTCACACACACATTTTTTCTCTCTGTACATAGTACACACATATATGCAATATACATAATTCAGTGGTCCACATCATATTTGTGTATGTGTGCCCCGTCCCCCCTCAGGTATGCTGCAGGTGAATTCACAGTGTTTTTTTTCTGCACATAAATTGGCGGGGAGGGTGGTACACTTTCTTCAAAGAGTGGTGATCTTGCTGTTGACAACTCAGGTTGGTGGGGCAGTGTTGGTGCTATTCCTGGGGTGGGGAGTGGAGAAAAAGAAAAATGGAGATTCTTAACAGCGAGAAAGAAGCCATACAGCCATCTTGGGTTAAGTAACTACTTAATTCGTTCTGGAGGTCCGTACTTAACCTGAAACTGTTCTTAACCTGAAGCACCACTTTAGCTAATGGGGCCTCCTGCTGCCGCCGCGCCACCGGAGCCCGATTTCTGTTCTTACCCTGAAGCTAGGTTCTTAACATGAAGCACTATTTCTAGGTTAGCGGAGTGTGTAACCTGAAGCGTATGTAACCTGAGGTACCACTGTACAATGACAGTAGTAGGTGATGCTAATTTGCTTAAAACATTCATGCAAGGTTGCATCATATATTCAGGACAAACACCCCCCCCCCCTTCTTTATTAATAACAAGGAAAACTGACCTCTCTCTCTTGGCCTAGTACACAAGAAATGGTGAGCCAGGCAAAAACTTCAGAGCAGAGACTGGCGAGTGTGTCAATTCCTGTTTTCTAATCCAGTTCATTTCTCCACATTTCCACATAACTTTGTGATTTTGTTTTTTAAAAAAACCGCAAGTCATGAAAATAAAGCGGCATTTTCGTGTGAATTTCTCCAAAAACACATCTTCAGGTGCAGTTTTTTTTAACATACTCATTTTTGCAAAGCAGTCTTCCCTTATAGGATGCATTTGGGGTTTTTTTGCAAGCTATTTTCATGAACGTATGCATTTTAATGCAAAGTTACCCCAGTATATGCATTTTTGGACCCATTCCTTGGCTGGAGAACTGCCTTGCAAAATTTGGGGGTGTGCAAATTTTGAAGCCTAGCCGTGTTTTGATTCATATATTACAGTCATACCTTGGGTTACAGACGCTTCAGGTTGCGTTTTTTCGGGTTTCGGCAGTCACGCATGCGCAGAAGCGCTAAACCACGCTTTGCGCATGCACCGAATCGCAACCCGTGCGCACGCAGATGCGACGCTGCGGGTTGCGGACGTTGCAGGTTGCGGACGTGCATCCCACATGGATCACGTTCGCAACCTGAGAGTCCAATGTATTTCAGAAAGTGTGAGCTGGGCAAATTCACGTATAAATACAAACTGAATTCCCAGCTGCCTGTGAGGCTACTTAGGAGGAGAGGGGAATGCATGGAAAGCACTGCTTGGATCAGGGCCGGGCTGAGCAGGGACAGGAGGAAATGGATTGCTGCCTTCTGCGCTGCACTTTTACCGGTTCATAAACATACAGTGGTGTCAGGGACGCGGGTGGCGCTGTGGGTAAAAGCCTCAGCGCCTAGGGCTTGCCGATCGAAAGGTCGGCGGTTCGAATCCCCTTGGCGGGGTGCGCTCCCGCTGCTCGGTCCCAACGCCTGCCAACCTAGCAGTTCGAAAGCACCCCCGGGTGCAAGTAGATAAATAGGGACCGCTTACTGGCGGGAAGGTAAACGGCGTTTCTGTGTGCTGTGCTGGCTCGCCAGATGCAGCTTTGTCACGCTGGCCACGTGACCCGGAAGTGTCTCCAGACAGCGCTGGCCCCTGGCCTCTTGAGTGAGATGGGAGCACAACCCCAGAGTCTGTCAAGACTGGCCCGTACAGGCAGGGGTACCTTTACCTTTACCTTTAAACATACAGTGGTACCTCGCGTTAAGAACTTAATTCGTTCTGGAGGGCCGTTCTTAACCCGAAACGGTTCTTAACCTGAGGCATGCTTTCGCTAATGGGGCCTCCTGCTGGTGCGCGATTTCCATTCTTATCCTGGGGCAAAGTTCTTAACCTGGAGCAACCACTTCCTGGTTAGCGGAGTTTGTAACCCGAAGCGTCTGTAACCCGAGGTACCACTGTACACACAGCCGTTAAGTTGTTCACAGTAACAAAAATACTCGTAAAATAAAGATAAATTAGAAACAGCAGGATAGTCCCTGGGTTTTAGCTAAGCCCAGCCAGAGCCAACAGAGAAAGTTACATTTCGTGAAGCCGCTCCATGCTGCAGTAACTGCCTAGCATAGTAGCATTCTGTCAGTTGCCGTCATGTCACATTAGTTTCCCACCCTCTCTGCAAGGAGTTCAGGGCAGTGCGCATGGAGCTAGCCCATTTTTATCTTCACTGGGTAGTTTAATGCTGCTGCAAAGCTGCAGCCAAGATGTGGAATCTTCTGCCCTTCCTCTATGTGGTCTGGACAGATGGGTTTGTTTCCCACTGACCCAGCCCATTCGTGATGAGCGTTAAGACCCAAATCCAATTCTCCAGCCACTTCCGCCAAACAAGCTAGAAGAGGGCCATAGCTCGGTGGGAGAGCACCTGCTTGGAATGTAGAAGGTCCCACCTTCAGTCACTAGGGAGGGCTGGGAGAGAATCGCTGTCTGAAAATCCTGGAGAGCCACTACCAGTCAATGTAGACCACCATCTCTCAACCTTGGGTCCCCCAGAGGTTGTTGGACTACAACTCCCATCATCCCTGACCCGTGTCCTGCTAGCTAGGGATAATGAGAGCTGTAGTCCGACAACCTCTGGTTGGACCTAAGGTTGAGAAAAGCTGGTGTAAACAATGCTGAGCTAGACGGACCATTTCAGCTTTCTGTCTTGCACACTTGACACAAACTCTGGATACAGCTTGGGCAAGAGGCTTGGAGTAAGATCTCAAAAACTCTTGTACCTGTGGTAAGGTGGAGGAGGTGCATCGTGCACACCTGAAGTTTCCAGCACTTGATCATAGGTTGGAAGTCCCGGTGCTGACTCTGGCTTTGGCTCCTCGACAAAGGTGGCAAGGGGCACCGCAGGATACAGGTCGCTTTGAGCCCTGATGAGGGAAGGAGATGAGTCAGAATGGTGAGAGCATGTCACAAAGCAATCCTATGGACTCTGGTTGCTTGCTGACAAGCTCAGTTATATCATCATAAATAACACACTGACTTCAGAAGGGCTTCTCATGTACTGCTTAGGAAAGAAATACTTTCTTAAGCCCAAGAATTACAGAAAGAATGATCTAGGATGGAGATGGTGGACTGCCAGCCTTCCAGGTGATACGTGATTCCAACATCCATCAACCAATGGTTGTTGGTAAGCAATCCTTAAAATGCCTCAACTACCAGCAGCTGCACTATTTTAATTAATTATTATTATTATTATTATTATTATTATTATTATTATTATTATTATTATTATTATTATACCTCGCCCATCTGACTGGGTTGCCCCAGCCCCTCTGGGCACCTTTCAACAAAATATACAAAGACACAACAGAACATCACACATTAAAAACTTCCTAATATGGGGCTAGGGACGCGGGTGGCGCTGTGGGTTAAAGCCTCAGCGCCTAGGGCTTGCCGATCGAAAGGTCGGCGGTTCGAATCCCCGCGGCGGGGTGCGCTCCCATCGCTCGGTCCCAGCGCCTGCCAACCTAGCAGTTCGAAAGCACCCCCGGGCGCAAGTAGATAAATAGGGACCGCTTACAAGCGGGAAGGTAAACGGCATTTCCGTGTGCAGCTCTGGCTCGCCAGATGCAGCTTGTCACGCTGGCCACGTGACCCGGAAGTGTCTCCGGACAGCGCTGGCCCCCGGCCTCTTGAGTGAGATGGGCGCACAACCCTAGAGTCTGTCAAGACTGGCCCATACGGGCAGGGGTACCTTTACCTTTACCTAATATGGGGCTGCCTTCAGACATCTACAGAAGGTCATCTAATTCGTTACCTCTTTGACATCTGGCAGGAGGGCATTCCACTACAGAGAAGGCCTTCTGCCTGGTTCCCTGTAACTTACTTATCGCAATGAGGGGACCGCCAAAAGACCCTTGGAGCTGGATCTCAATGTCTGGGCTGAACGATGGGGGTGGAGACGCTCCTTCAGGTATACAGGGCTGAAGCCGTTTAGGGCTTTAAAGGTCAGCACCAACACTTTGAATTGTGCTCGGAAATGTACTGGGAGCCAATAAAGATCTAAAGTCCAGTGTTATATGGTCCTGGCGGTTGCGCACATTCACCAATCTGGCAGCTGCATTCTGGATTAGTTGTAGTTTCTGAGTCACATTCAAAGGTAGCCCCACATAAAGTGCATTGCAATAATCTAAGCGGGAGATAACCAGAGCATGCACCACCCTGGAGACAGTGGGCAGGCAGGTAAAGTCTCAGCCAGCATACCAGATGGAATTAATTCTATTTACTGTATTTTTCACTCTATAAGATGCACCAGACCACAAGACGCACCTAGTTTTTGGTGGAGGAAAACAAGAAAAAAAATATTCTGAATCTCAGAAGCCAGAACAGCAAGAGGGATTGCTGCGCAGTGAAAGCAGCAGTCCCTCTTGCTGTTCTGGCTTCTGGGATAGCTGCGCAGCCTGCATTCGCTCCATAAGACGGACACACATTCCCCTTACTTTTTAGAAGGGAAAAAGTGAGTCTTATAGAGCAAAAAATACGGTATATCAATTTTATTTATATTATTTATTTAATACCGCCCTATACCCGCAGGTCTCAGGGCAGTTTATAGAATAAAATCAAAATATAAAACCACAAAATCCAAAATAAAAATAAAAACAAGCTAATAACCCTTCCCCCCCAAAAAAACCCCCACATTTTAAAAGGGCCTAGGATGTAAATCTGATCAGCCAAAGGCCTGGTTAAAAAGGAACGTTTTTCCTGGCGCCTAAAGGTGTATAATGAAGGCGCCAGGCGAACTTCCCTGGGGAGAGCATTCCACAGATTGCAGAGAAGCCATGTTCTTGTGTTGCCACCCTCCGAACCTCTCGAGGAAGCACATGAAGGAGGGTCACAGAAGATGATCTCAGGGTCAGGGTCTGGGTAGTTTTATACAGAAAGAGGCGGTCCTTGAGGTACAGTGGTGCCTCACAAGACGAAATTAATTCGTTCCGCGAGGCTCTTCATATAGTGGTTTTTTCGTCTTGCGAAGCAAGCCCATTGACAGCTTAGCGGATTAGCGCTATTAGCGGTTTAGTGGCTTTTAGCAATCAGCTGTTAAGTGGCTTATCAGTGGATCAGCTGCTAAGCGGCTTAGCGGCTTAGGAAAAGGGGGGGGAGGGGGGAAAACCCGAAGGAACTCGCAAGACCTTTTCGTCTTGCGAAGCAAGCCCATAGGGAAATTCGTTTTGCGAAGCGCCTCCAAAACGGAAAACCCTTTCGTCTAGCGGGTTTTCCGTCTTGCGAGGCGTTCGTCTTGCGGGGCACCACTGTATTGCAGTCCTGAGCCATTTAAGGCTTTCTAGGTCAAAACCAGCACTTTGAATTGGGCCCAGAAACTAATTAGTAGCCAGTGCAGTCGAAACAGGACAGGTGTAATATGCTCAAACCGTCTTGCTCCGGTGAGCAACCTGGCCGCTGAATTTATATCCCATCCTTCTTCCCAAAGGAGCCTAGGGTGGCAGGGCAGGGTTGTGGTCTGGGAAGCCTCTGCTAGCTGCAAACTATACAAGTCTCTGCATCCTTGTGCAGGTACCAGTAGTTTGCCTGACCTGCTTGTGATATTGACTTTGGGCTGTTGTTTGACCTTGGGCTCTAGACCTAGGCTGATCTTCTCCGCTTGACCTTGGCTTGTTTGGATTCCACGGCACTTGCAATCCTGCCCTTGTTGGCGAATGCTTTGCTAAGAGGCTTATACAGTCGTACCTTGGATCCCAAACGCCTTGGTTCTTGGACATGTTGGCTCTCGAACGCTGTAAGCCCGCAAGTGGGTGTTCCGGTTTGTGAACGTTCTTTGGAATCTGAATGTCTGACGGGGCTTCCGTGGCTTCTGATTGGCTGCAGGAGCTTCCTGCAGCCAACCAGAAGCCGCGCTTTGGTTCCTGAACATTTTGGAAGTCGAACAGACTTCCGGAACGGATTCCATTTGACTTCCAAGGTACGACTGTACCTCCTGGAGCTGGGACCCCAATGTCGAGGGCACCGACTGGAGTGTGATCAACTGTGGGAGATCCACTCAAGGACTGTCAGGGGCTGGCTGGCTGAAGAGGAGTGATGGGAGGCACCAGCAGGGAACCCCCCTGAAATATACTCGGAATCAGACTGCTGCATTTTTGGATCCTATTCAACTCAGTACATAACACCCCCCAAGGGAAACTCCAGAGGAGCAAGGCTCAGAGCCAGGGGATTGGTGGTGGGACACTTGAAGAGAGGTCAGAGGGAGAAGATTGTGAGGAGGGGCTGGATGCTGAAGGGACAAGAGGGCTTGGGAGCAGAAAGAACATGTGTCAGGGAACAGTCCAGACTCTGAGGCTGAAGCAGAAGAGGGAGGTCAGGCTGCTGAAGAATCTAGGGAGTCTCCCACTCCACCCCCATCGTTCAGCCCAGACACTGAGATCCAGCTCCGAGGGCCTTCTGGTGGTTCCCTCATTGCGAGAAGTGAGGTTACAGGGAACCAGACAGAGGGCCTTCTCGGTAGTGGCGCCCACCCTGTGGAACGTCCTCCCATCAGATGTCAAGGAAATAAGCAGCTATCCTATTTTTAAAAGACATCTGAAGGCAGCCCTGTTTAGGGAAGTTTTTAATATTTAATACTGAATTGTTTTTAACTCGATTGGGAGCCGCCCAGAGTGGCTGGGGAAACTCAGCCAGATGAGCAGGGTATAAATAGTAAATTATTATTATATTATTGTTGCAACAAGCTCTCCTCCACTGTGGTCTCCAAGAACGTGCAGGATAATAAGGAGAGAAGAACAGAGACCACAGGTACACAGACACCATTTGAGACTGCTTGGGAAACATCCAGGAGAGGAGGAGCCTTAGAAGGGGCAGAAGGCAGGGACCTTCAGTCCTGGCAACTGCTCCCCAGGGGCAAGACCTACTGGGAACTGTTGCTGATTTGTATGCTGTTTCCTTGAATAAAGGAGAGACGTGGGTGGCGCTGTGGGTTAAACCACAAAGCCTAGGACTTGCCGATCAGAAGGTTGGCGGTTCAAATCCCCGCCACGGGGTGAGCTCCCATTGCTCGGTCCTTGCTCCTGCCAACCTAGCAGTTCGAAAGCACGTCAAGTGCAAGTAGATAAATAGGTACCGCTCCGGAAGGGAAGGTACACGGCGTTTCCGTGCGCTGCTCTGGTTCGCCAGAAGCGGCTTAGTCCTGCTGGCCACATGACCCGGAAGCTGTACGCCGGCTCCCTCAGTCAATAAAGCGAGATGAGCGCCACAACCCCAGAGTCGGTCACGACTGGACCTAATGGTCAGGGGTCCCTTTACCTTTACCTCCTTGAATAAAGAGTTAACTTCCCTGACAATGGAGCGCTGCATCGTTCATGCTGACCCTGACTAGGACCTCCTGATTTTGAAAGCTGCCTGGAACTGCCTCTCATTCCCATGCATGCATGCCCCCAGAGCACCCATCCTTAGACCCTGATCCGTACCTGGAACGGCTCCTCTGCTTATTCCGGTATTTGATGCAATACATGGCCACAATCACAAACATGACTACAGACACCAACGCTCCTACGAGGCCTGCCACCAGGCCGGCCACGTCAACACCAGGTCTTTCTGTGGAAGCTGGAGAGATTGAGGGAAGATTAGTAGAGATATCTGGCGTCCGCCTCCGCAAATTGCCCTAATAGGAGCCCTGTTGTGAGCACTGCCACCCTGATTCAGAGGGGCTTCAGAGATATCAAAGTTGCCTTTTCTCCAGGAAGTACAATCTGCCCTCCCTTGCTATTATGGGCTGCTTGTGAAGCGGCCGTGGGAAAACACTGAGGCAGAAGGTCGTCCTTGGAATTCCTTTTTTAGAAGGGACAACAACAGGAGATATTTCGGCTGGGAATTTAATAAGAGTTCTGGGCAGGATCTTTGGCAGAGTGGCCTGTGCAGATAAGAAAAGGGAAAACACCTAGTAAAAGTGAACTATTGGGCTTTTTCACACATGCAGGAGGAAGGAAAGGAATTTGTTTTAGAAATGATTATTGCTGATTTATTGTGGATTTGATAATCACAAACTATCAAATCCACAATAAATCAGCAATAATCATTTCTAAAATAAATTCCTTGCACTCACTTGTAGATATTGCCAGTGCTTTTTTCTGGGGGTACGCATACCCCTGAACATTTTGTGAATCTTTCCCTGATTTGAACTATAAAATGGTGATTTTTCTTGAGTCAAAATGAGAGTACCCCTAAACAGGGTGTTTGTTTGTTTTTTTAAGGAAAAGGGGACTGGAAATTGCAAATGGTAAAATATTGTACATGCAGGATTTGGCAGGTGGAGAGCTGATGCTTAAGGATAAAAAGTTCAAAAAACTATTGTAAAATAAGGTTAACTGTAAGGAACAGAATGTGAACTAGAAACAACTGGAAAAATAAAGCAGCAAGAAGAGGAAGCCTTGGACACACCGAGAACCAAATGTTCACTAGACCCTTTTGATCCCCCTTTTAAAATGGAGTATAACATGCTTTGTATTTTCCCTGTAGGACAGCTGGGCGTGCTGCAAAGCACAGTGGCGATGAGAGCCCACCAACTTATTTTGCAGAGGGCCCAATCCGCAGAGGGTACTGGGCCTTGAAAACCCTGTTGGCACCCCTCAGCTCAGAGTAAGCCCCTGGGCTCAAGTGCCAAAGTCTGCTCTTGCTTTCGCCTACTGAAATTTGGCCTGGGATAGCTCAGTCGGTAGAGCATGAGACTCAGGGTTGTGGGTTTGAGCCCCACATTGGGCAAAATAAATTATGCGCGTGGGTGTTTGTGGCCTGTTTGCTCCTCAAGGATGAGCCTCTGGGAAACCAAACAGGAGCTTGTTTCCTTCTGTCATTAGCTGACTCACAATGTAAGAGGGATGCCTGGGAATTTCCCACTGCCATTTTCTACCCTTACTCACTTGAGCCTCCTTTCCCGTTGTGTTCATAGTTATCCCAAAACATTTTCTGAAGAGAGAACAAAAAAAGGGGAGGTTAACATGGCATGATAGCAAATAACAGCCTTCCCGCCATTTTGAAATCCACGTCCCGAGTTCTGGTGGTGGTAACCGCTGGATGCTATCTGCGCTATACATTTAAAGCAATATCATGCCACTTTAAACATTCATGGCTTCCCCCAAAGGATCCTGGGAATTGTAGTTTGTTAAGGGTGCTGAGCGTTTTTGGAAACGCCTATTCCCCTTACATAGCTACAACCCCCAGAGTGATTTTGCAACCAGTTTCTCTCCCCAGGGAATTCTGGGTAGTGTAGCTGCGGGAGGGGCCGTTTTTTGCCCTGGTGAGGCCCTTCTTGGTGGGCTGCTGGCTCCTTACCTGGCAAGGCCAGGTGCGACACAACAACAAACACGTACTTATTTTTGAAAGTGTTGTTTTGCACAAATCTGGTAAATTGGAAAACACGCCTTTCTGACTAAATAAATAAATGGCCATTTTGCCCATTGTGAAACGTGCTTGGCAATTTGGCTTTGGGTATAGTTCACTATTTCACCGTTCCACCGCAAAATGAATTCCCCCCCCCTTACAGGTGCATGCACTTACAGGTAAGCAAATACTCGTGCACACGCCAACAACAGACTTAAGGTTTCCATAATGAACAGAGCGAATACACTCAATCAGTTATTGCCTGCCAAAGGTAAAGGGACCCCTGACCGTTAGGTCCAGTCACGGACGACTCTGGGGTTGCGGCGCTCATCTCGTTTTATTGGCCGAGGGAGCCGGCGTACAGCTTCCAGGTCATGTGGCCAGCATGACTAAGCCACTTCTGGCGAACCAGAGCAGCACACGGAAACGGCGTGTACCTTCCCGCCAGAGCGATACCTATTTATCTACTTGCACTTTGACGTGCTTTCGAACTGCTAGGTTGGCAGGAGCTGGGACCGAGCAACGGGAGCTCACCCCGTGGCGGGGATTCGAACCGCCAACCTTCTGATCGGCAAGTCCAAGGCTCTGTGGTTTAACCCACAGTGCCAGCTGCATCCCCACTGCCTGCTAGTCAAGGTTTAAATGGAACCGGCTTGGGTGTGGACTGAAGCACACACAGAAACATGGCATCTGTGCCACCCACATGTGCAATGATACCCTGGTGTGCACACAGCCTAAGACTGCTTCTCCAGCAATGCTGCCTTATTTCCACACTTGTCGTTTGCAATACGCACTCTAGAGGGCATCAGTCTATCGCAAAAGAAAGTCCTTAAAAAAAGGCGGGAGGGGAGAAGAAGAAGAAGAAGAAGAAGAAGAAGAAGAAGAAGAAGAAGAAGGAGAGTTTGGATTTGATATCCGGCCTTTCACTCCCTTTAAGGAGTCTCAAAGCGGCTAACATTCTCCTTTCCCTTCCTCCCCCACAACAAACACTCTGTGAGGTGAGTGGGGCTGAGAGACTTCAAAGAAGTGTGACTGGCCCAAGGTCACCCCAGCAGCTGCATGTGGAGGAGCGGAGACACGAACCCGGTTCCCCAGATTAGGAGACTACCGCTCTTAACCACTACACCACACTGGTTCTCTGGTTGAGACAACCTCAAATCCCTCGGATTCACAAAATCAGCTAACGAAAGTTCCTTTTGCACTAAATTAATCTTTGCCACAGGACTCTTGGCATTCTTGGCCGCAAACAACAGGCTAACTTAACCCCCGTCCTCAGAAGTCAAATCTTGGCAGATCTGTTTAGCTGAAGGAACCGTAAATCTTTTGAACTGTGTATCTACCCCTATGCAACAAGTTAATTTTAATACGAAAGGCATTGCCTCTCTCTGAGTCAGGAGCTGAAACCAGTCCAAATTCTGAACTGGCTGCAAGCACATAAGAAACTGTGCCATGCAATCCTGCGGACATGCAAAACTGCACAGCCCAAACCTCTGCTTGCAATTACTTGGGAGATTTGTCATATTAGTAAGGGATAGGGCGGCTACCAGCTGTGTCCAATATGCTGGAGAAGGATTAAAGCAGGAACAGCTTCTCCTGCCAAGGTGCAGCGCTGGGGAAAGTGGCACCTCCTGGCATTCACCCTTCCGCAGAATTCAATGCTGATGTTGTCAACATGGTGTCTGTGGACACAATGCCGCATCCAGAGCCCACAAAGCCCCTGTACCCAGTGGTGTAGCGTGGGGGGTGCAGGGGGGCCGGCTGCACCGGGCGCAACATCTGGGGGCGCGCGCTAATCTAGTGGAAGAGACTCAAGTGCTAAAATCCATGGGTTAGGGGGTGCAAATTACTTGCCTTGCCCCGGGTGCTGGCAACCCACGCTACGCCACTGCCTGTACCTCCCCTCTGCTCACTGTCCCCTTCATCATCAGGTGGTAAAGATAGCTACTTTCCATCCCCTTCTTGAAAAGTACTGAGAGCTGGAGGAGGAAGTTCAAAGAACAACACTTTCCCACTTCCTCTTTTAGCGCTATACAGTGGTACCTCGGGTTACAGACGCTTCAGGTTACAGACGCTTCAGGTTACAGACTCCGCTAACCCAGCAATAGTATCTCGGGTTGAGAACTTTGCTTCAGGATGAGAACAGAAATCTTGCTACGGCGGCGCGGCGGCAGCAGGAGGCCCCATTAGCTAAAGTGGTGCTTCAGGTTAACAACAGTTTCAGGTTAAGAATGGACCTCTGGAACGAATTAAGTTCTTAACCTGAGAATGCTTTTCAAGATCCAGGTAGGCGACAGAATGACCAACAGAGCAGGAAGGAAAGGGAAATTAGCTGGGGGACTTGGACAGGGGGAGGAAAATGGAGATACCATGAGGAAGAAAGTCGGGTGCCGCAAACAAATGCACTCTTCAAAACATCAGAGCAAACAGCGACTATTCCACTATAAATGGCAAGTGCAGAAAGGCCCAATATTTCAAAACGGTGGGTGCTGACAACAACCCCTGAGCACATCCATTTTTTAAAAAAGCAAAGGAAGGGGAATCATGAAAGATATACATATCCCCAGCACTGTATGGGAAGTGGTGTTAAAATGGACTGGTTTATTGTGGCATGAGCTTTGGTGGCAGACAAACATACACAGGTTTAAAAGGCGGGCAGGGAGAGACATAGTAGAGGCAAATGGTAATGAAATGCAGAAGGTGCAGACTGTGACAATTCAATTAAAGCTGAAATATAAGCGAAACCAGTTCAGCCGCCATTTACAACAGCAGTAATTGTCGATTAACACAATCGGCTTAGCATTGCTCAGCTAATTAGCACCTGCAGCGGGACAGGAAACCACCGCCTCAATTGCTGCAACGGACTCCCCCCTCTAGGGCTGTTTAGGTCTTCCACTATCAAGGGCGAATACGGCGATAACTAACCTCTTGACTACAGTAAAGGAAGGTTACACTTATTTGCGGTTCTTCTGGTTTCTAAACTACAAACAAATCACCTTGGGCTACAAGGGTTCTGAATCACGATTACCATGAAGTAGTACTCTGCATTTAAGAACCCGGTGGTGTGAAATAAAGATGTAAGATGTCAATAAACATGAACACTACAGAGAAAACAACACAGCGCTTCCTCGAGATAATGCTAGCTGGCACAAAGATAAGGCACGAATAAGCCAGTTCTATTGTCTGTGTCTATGCCCTCGCAGCACCAGCAAAAAAACTTGAAAAAGTGCACAAGGGTGCACACGTTATCTTTATAAATAGCAGTTTCCCCAATTAATTCTGGTCCTGCAAATGCTTCCACACAGAAACCCAGAAAACAAATTCTAAGTACAATGGTACCTCGGGTTAAGTACTTAATTCGTTCCGGAGGTCCGTACTTAACCTGAAACTGTTCTTAACCTGAAGACCACTTTAACTAATGGGGCCTCCTGCTACTGCCGTGCCGCCAGAGCACAATTTCTGTTCTCATCCTGAAGCAAAGTTCTTAACCTGAAGCAGTATTTCTGGGTTAGCGGAGTGTGTAACCTGAAGCGTATGTAACCTGAAGCGTATGTAACCCGAGGTACCACTGTATTAACTGAGCCAGTTCAAGCGCTGGCGACCTGCCACTGTGGCATGTGCTAGAGCATTCATACATTCAATTCAGTATTTGGGGATTTAAGGGGACTGGTGCAAAGAAGGACTGGGAACCTGTGGCCCTCCAGATGTTGTCAGATTGCAACTCTCATCAGCCCCAGCTGGCATGACCAATGGTCAGGGATCATGGCAAATGCAGCCCAATATCAGGAGGACCACAAGGTCCTCATCCCCAGACTAAAGGGATGCACTTACTAGAGAAATGCTCTCAACCAATGAGAGCAGAGGGCATAAGCTTGGGGGAACAGTGGCGGCTGGTGCCTATTTAGGACTGGTGGGTCCGAAGGCAGGGAGTCCAACTCTAGATGGCGCTAGAGCCACTGAGAGCCAACTATTTCTCATTTTTGTCGTCTTCCACCTCCCTGCCGAGCTGTGCAAGGGAAACACTGAGATGATGGAGGAGAAAACTGACAGCCATGGCCAGCCCCTGGACTGGTTGCAAGCAGGCAGGCAGGCAGGTGGGGGTCTAAGCTGAGGGCTGGATGCAGTTTGCAATGGACCAGTCTCCATTGTGGGGGAACACAGGGACTGAGGAAAGGAGAAGGATCTCCTGGTGTGGATGGCAAAGAAGGGGATGAAAGGCCTTGGATACAGGAGAGAGTGTATTTAGAGAGAAGGGAGAAATAATATTGGGCAGTTTCTGCCGAGAATCTACTTTGGCTTCTCTTGCGTTTAGTTACATGGAAACGTTGGAAACTGCATAGCCTGTCAAGATAGGAAGAGACACAAAATCTAAATATACAAAGGAGAAGATACCCCAGAAACCACACAAATACACACACACACACACACGTCATCTTGAATCACCTTCACAGTTCAGAATAGGGTGGTGTTTAAACTGATCTCTCACACACTGATTTCCCAATTTGATGCAGCCCTAATCGCTCTCCCCCCAGGAAACTGAGATGCAAACGAGCCCCAGCCTAGTCACGGATTTATTTCAGCAATCCATCTCTGGCTGCTTCTGGTTTCACTCCCCGCCTGCCCTGAACCATCCAGAGACCAGGACATAGCTCTGTAATAGGAAGCCTGAGGCCTGTTTGCACGTGGCTCTTTTACTATGCTAGGAATCTACCTGCTCCAAATTCCCTAGACGAGTCCTGACATGGAGCACTGTAGTTCATGACAAACGATGTGCCCTGGTTTTCCTTGGCTCTGAAGCACCAGGGCTTTATTGCCTTCTAAGGGAAGCATGGAATCTTGTCCCCTCTTCCTGTACGAGGACCCTGCACACACATTGAATGCAACACAGAATCACAACTTTCCTCATCCTCAGTTTACATCAATCACAATTTCAGTTTCCAAATGTACAGCAGGTAAAGCATGACTCAGAGCTGCTTTTTGTCTGCTTCCGCCCTTTCAGTTTTCAACTTCATAAATCTAGGTGCACAGATGATGGCAGGAAATAATATTTTAAATGTGCAGTGCAGTGAGTGTGGTTTATTTATTTTTTAAATATAAAATGTTGGGCCTAGCATGGGGGGGAGGGACGCGGGTGGCACTGTAGGTTAAACCACAGAGCCTAGGACTTGCCGATCAGAAGGTCGGTGGTTCGAATCCCCGCGACGGGGTGAGCTCCTGTTGCTCGGTCCCTGCTCCTGCCAACCTAGCAGTTCGAAAGCACGTCAAAGTGCAAGTAGATAAATAGGTACCGCTCCGGCGGGAAGGTAAACGGCGTTTCCGTGCGCTGCTCTGGTTCGCCAGAAGCAGCTTAGTCATGCTGGCCACATGACCCAGAAGCTGTATGCCGGCTCCCTCAGCCAATAAAGCGAGATGAGCGCCACAACCCCAGAGTCAATCACGACTGGACCTAATGGTCAGGCGTCCCTTTACCTTTACCTTTTTAGCATGGGAGGGGGCAGAATTGGTCTGCCCCCAATATTAAACTCCTTCCTATAGAACTTAGCAATTAGGCTTTACCCCCATGTCTGTATAAATAACAACCCTCTTGCTATTAATTTATTTAATCTCTTCCCGGAAAAGCAGAGGTCCTGGTTTTCGAATGCTCTCTCTCTCCCCCTCTGCAACCAGTCCACTACCTTAGTAAGCCTTTACGTTTGTTGTACGATGGCAGACAACTACTGTATTTTGACTTGCTTCTTCTTTGCTAACGACATTCCTGACATTATAGCCCTTTGGCAGGTTGCTAGAAAGGCTATCAAATTGAAACTACAGTTTTACTCTAGTCACCCTGGTGCAGTCATGAAGACACGTTGCTATGTAGCAGGCAGGTGTTGCTAGGTTCTCCTTTCACTCAGCAGGTACAGACAGCTGCATCAGATTTTAATTTGGCATTTATCCCTGTTGGCCCTGAATCATTTCCCCCTCTATAATTCTGGGTGTGTGGGTAAAAGCCTCAGCGTCTAGGACTTGCCGATCGAAAGGTTGGTGGTTCGAATCCCCGCGGCGGGGTGCGCTCCCGTCGCTCGGTCCCAGCGCCTGCCAACCTAGCAGTTCGAAAGCACCCCCGAGTGCAAGTAGATAAATAGGGACCGCTTACCAGCGGGAAGGTAAACGGCGTTCCGTGTGCTGCGCTGGCTCGCCAGATGCAGCTTGTCACGCTGGCCACGTGACCCGGAAGTGTCTGCGGACAGCGCTGGCTCCCGGCCTCTTGAGTGAGATGGGTGCACAACCCCAGAGTCTGTCAAGACTGGCCCGTACGGGCAGGGGTACCTTTACCTTTACCTTAGAAGTGCAGCAGAACAGTTTCAAAATCTCTATGCTAGATGTTATGATGCTCCCAAGCCCAAGGCTTTCCCCATACTCAGCTGTTTGGAAGTCGTCCTCAAAGACTTCGCGCATTTCTTCGTAGTTGCAAATTTCTTCTATGCATTCGCGCTGCAAGTTGCCTGGCGTGAACAGCTCAAAATCCCAGTGGTTATAAAGAGGCTTACGGCTCAGGAATCGATGTGCAGTAGCGTCATCCAGGATCACTGAGAATAGAAACCATAAGATATTATCCCGGAGTTTAGAGAAGGCAAGATGTCCTAGGATAGTGATGGCGAACTTTTTAGAGACCAACCCAAACTGCAACCCAAAACCCACTTATCACAAAGTGCCAACACAGCAATTTAAACTGAATACTGAGGTTTTAGTTTAGAAAAAAACATACATTAACATCTTTTGTCTTAAAAGAAAACAAAACACAATAACAGAGCTTTCAATGATACAAACAACTTTTTTTTAAAAAAGGTAAAAGTTTGCATTTGGCATATGTAATGGTTCTAGGGGTTGCTCGTGCGTAAACCTGTCCCAACACCTGGCTGGGTTGCCTGAGTGAACCTTTCCTGTCCGGACAGCCACTCCCCCGTGGCTGTCTCAATCGCTGGCAGAATCCGTCAGTGGGCGTTTCTTAAACTTCTTCCAACAAAGAAGTTCTTTGACGCCCAGTCTCCTCCTACTCTCCCTGCGCAGAAGCCTTCTGCGCAAGGAGGGCGTAGGCAGCAGAGGACCCTTCCTCTCCCCGCTGGTCCCCGGCAAGGAGTCATGTGACCGCCTCTCTGATTCCCCCATCTGCCCCCCTTCTCCACTGGAGCTAAACTGATTCCCTTCCCCAGAAGATGGGCTGCCTCTCCCAATCCCGGGACGCTCTCTGGGATCCCTCTGGAGCTCTCTCTCTCCCTCCGGCACTGATGGCAGTTCCCTGACAGCATGCTTTTGAACAAGTAATGTGATTTTTGCTGTTGTACGCATGCTGATAATTTGTCTAACCTTGCTGAACTCCAGGTGGCTTACTCTCGAGTAGGAACGACAAACTGGCGGAGGCCCTGGCACATCAAAAGTCGAGGCCTGGACAGAGCAGCAGTTTCCCAACACGAGCCCTCCTCTCCTCCTCCCCCCAGCGTGGCCCGAGGGTAAAAATGGTGCCCTAGCAGCGCTGGGACCATGCTAGAAGCAGCCAGGAGCCTCCTGCAGCGCTGGAGCACCTGTTTCACCCCCTAGCTATGGCCCTGCTGGGGCAATGGCACACATGCCCACAGAGAGGGCTCTGAGTGCCCCCTCTGGCACACATGCCATAGGTTCGCCACCACTGTCCTAGGCCCAAGAGTCATTTGTTCTCTCAAAGAAAGGGGAGTTGTTGCTACAGCAGATGTGGGGAACCTTTGACCCTGTGTGTGCCCTCTTCCCTGTGCTGTGCCCTCCAAGCTAGACTGCTCCCCTACAGAATTCTAGGGACTGTAATTTGTCAAGGAAACACACTTGTTAGGAGCCCATGCCTTCCAAGTTGCCCCAGCAAAAATGGGACATTCGTATGAGATCTCAGTGGCCGTTGGGGGTGCCGCAATATCACACTCTCACCCCCATTTTACGTAGTAAAAAGTTGGGTGGTATGGGAGACTCACATTCCCCTCTGCAGTTCCCAGAGTGTTTAACAGCCAATCCCTCTTCCCAGGGAACTCTGGGAGGGGGAACTAGGGTCTCCTAACAACTCGCAGCACCCTTAGCAAACACCAGCTCCCAGTATTCTTGGGTGTGTCACGCTGAAGTCCTCAGTTATTTTCACATACTTCAGCCTTTGCCAACATGGTGCCCTCCAGATGTTTTTGACGACAACTCCCATCAACCCCAGCCAGTTAGCATACACTTTCCACCCTCTAGGGGACGTTGCATATGAAGAGGACTGAGAATGGCAGCATTTATTTTGCAGGTATATAGCAGAGGCTTCTGGGAGGTCCGGAAAGGCCTGGGAGCCAACAGCTGCACCCATCAGGTCCTTCTCCCTTCTTCAAATATCACTGCTTGCTTTGATACTTTCCCAACCTTTCCAGGTGAGCTGTTTTAGACACTATGCAGGAGGCATTGTTGCTTTTTTTCGTTGCTCACAGTCACATGCCTTCACTTCCTGGTTGAATGACCCTTTGTTAGAACTCAAAAGCTTATTGCACACAGTTGGAGGAAATGAGATGCTTCTCTCGCCCCCCGCCCCCATATATTGTATTCATTGGAAAATGTGGAATGTGGTTCCGCAAGGGTCCAATGCACTCGCTGGCTATTTGCTTGCTGTGACGTCTGTGTTTAGGAATGAGAGGGGCAGTGCAGGGAGCTTGGGCTTCTCATTGCTACCACAGCCAGTGGGACAAACCTCTCATTGGCTGGGCGTAGATTTCTTAAAGACAGTAAGGAGCTAGTGGTGGTGTGCAGTGGTTAAAGTGCTGGAGAAAGGGGTTCAAATCCTCACTCAGCCATGAAGCTCAGTGCAGGACTTTGGCTAAGCCCAAAGCCTAATCATAGAGTTTCTGGGGTGGGGAGACATGGGTGGCTGGGATGAGAAGATCCTTGCTGCCAGGAGGAAGGTAAAGGTAAAGGGACCCCTGACCATTAGGTCCAGTCGTGGCCGACTCTGGGGTTGCGGCGCTCATCTCGTTTTATTGGCCGAGGGAGCCGGTGTACAGCTTCTGGGTCATGTGGCCAGCATGACTAAGCCGCTTCTGGCAAACCAGAGCAGCGCACGGAAACGCCGTTTACCTTCCCGCCGGAGCGGTACCTATTTATCTAAGCGGTACCTATTTATCTAAGCGGTACCTATTTATCAAAGTACTTGCACTTTGATGTGCTTTCGAACTGCTAGGTGGGCAGGAGCAGGGACCGAGCAGCGGGAGCTCACCCTGTCGCGGCGATTCGAACCACCAACTTTCTGATCGGCAAGCCCTAGGCTCTGTGGTTTAACCCACAGCGCCACCCGCATCCCTTGGGAGGAAGGTACAAACATCAATAAAGAAGGCTTAAGAAAGGCCTATTTAGGGGGAACTCGTACTAGTTTACAGCTCTTATGTAGGCATTTTCCTCACTTCAAATAACCTTAAAAAGTCACCTGTGACCTCCAGGCTCTTTGTTCCTTTAGACTGCACACACACAACATTTTCTTTTACAATCAGTGAAAGGCAAGTTCTTGGTTTTTTCCACCTAGTCCACACACACAATCCCTGTTGCATCTTTGCCCCTGAAATGTGCCCTCGACAAAGTGGCTTCATCATTCCCAGAATAAAAGCAGATGGATCCTGTGTTATCCCACAGTGCGATTCCTTTTGAGAAAAGATGCAGGCAGCCCTGGCAAGGATGTGTGTGTGTGTGTGTGTGTGTGTGTGTGTGCGTGTCCCCCAACCCTCAACTTACCTTGATCCTCTAGAGTCTGCTGGTGTTCCGGCTGCTTGTGGAATGGAACGGCAAAGCTGTGGCTGAGGGCTTGGAACAGCAAAAGAAGACATGGAGGACTCCACATGATGCGCCCTGAAAGGAGGACATGAGACAGTGCCAAAGATCTGGGTTCAAGAGAGTCCTCCAATATATATTCTGGGATAACACCACCCATTCGCGTGATACAGTAGCTCTCTCTTATCTGCCAGCCTTCACTTACGAGAAAACAACAACACAGGCATTAGACACAACACACTACTGGTATTATACAACTGGTTCCTCCCCACAGAGAAAACAGTTGCTGCTCTACTGTCTGATAACATGGGGACAACTGCTGGGGACTTGATAAGAGCCCAATATTAACAAAAAAGCTGGAGAGACAGAGTCACTCCAGCAATTAGGCAGGGCGAAGCAACTGCCTCAGGCAGCTGATTTCGGGGTGTCATGGAAAGGCAGCAAGCTGTTAGTAAATTGATTCATTATTGTTGCTTTTTACTGCTGGGGAGTGAGGGAGGGGAGGTGGGATTTTTCTGCCAGTAGTACCAAAATATCTGGCTTTGGGTACTGTCTACTTTGACAGAGAGTGGGGGTTCCTTCTTCGCCTCAGGCAGCTAAATATCTTGGGCCAGGCCTGTGGAGAGGGAATCTGCCAGGTGGTTAAAAAAGCATTACCAACGAGGAGCCTGACCAGGTAATTGGTTTTATTTTTTAATCATTTTCCATTTTAAATTGGATTCCCAACTGGGTCTGGCTTACTCCCGGTTCCTGTTAACAGAAGTCTGATCTGTAGAAATCAGCAGGCGAAGCACTTCATAGCATGGTGCTAAACATTAATACCTGCTAATTGCTGCAGATGAAACTGCAGTTAAAAGAACGCTTACCAGGAGCAGGTTCAGAAGCCGGGAGTTGTAAATGTGCTGGAATACAGAAATTTATTCATGCATTTCTCATTACTTTTCTATCCTGCCTTTTCTCCAGGTACCTCAAGGCTCTTTCCCCATTTTATCCTCACAACACCACCCACACATGGCTTCCTCCACAGAATCCTGGGAAACTTAGTTTGTTAATGGTGCTGAGAACTGTAGCCCTGTGAGGGATAAACTACAATTCCCATATTTTGGGGGCGGGAAGCCATGTGCTTTAAATGGATAGTGTCTGAGGTAAGTTAGGCTGAGAGATGATGACTGAACTAAGATCACCCAGTGAGCATCATGGCTGAGTGGGGATTTGAACTCGTATCTCCGAGGTTCTAGTCCAAGACGTGAATCACTGCACCACACTGGTTTTCCTTCTGAGGGCATTTACAACCTGTACTATAGTGTGAACCTAAGCATGTTCACTCAGAAGTAAGCCCCCTTATGTCAATGCCTGCTTGCTTCTGTTTACTCAGAAGTAACTCCTCCAAAGTCTGAGTTGAACAGAATTTGCTCCCAAGTCTGTGTGCATAGGATTTGCAGCCTTAGATGGACGGAGGAGTCAAATAAGGCCACATTCACATCATAAATTCAAAGCGCTATAAATTCAAAGCACTTTAAACAATTATGGCTTCCCGCAAATAATTATGGGAGTTATAGTTTGTTAAGGGTGCTAAGAGTTGTTAGGGGATCCGGATTCCTTTGCTGGTGCTACAATTCCCAGAGGTCCCTCTTCATGGGAAACTCTGCAAAATAGTATTTCTGGGAAGGAAATGGGGGTTTCCTAACAAAAAAGAACAACATGGGCCTTAGACACAACACACTGCTGGTATTATACAGCTGGTTCCTCCCCACAGAGAAAACAGTTGCTGCTCTACTGCATGATAACATGGGGACAACTGCTGGGAACTTGATAAGAGCCCAATATTAACAAAAAAGCTGGAGAGACAGAGTCGCTCCAGCAGTTAGGCAGGGCGAAGCAACTGCCTCAGGCAGCTGATTTCGGGGTGTCATGGAAAGGCAGCAAGCTGTTAGTAAATTGATTCATTATTGTTGCTTTTACTGCTGGGGAGTGAGGGAGGGGAGGTCGGGTTTTTCTGTCTCTGGCACCAAAATATCTGGCCTTGGGTACTGTCTACTTTGACAAAGAGTGGTCAGTGGAACTGACCAGCAAGACAACACAGGAGACGTGGTTATTACACTCCTTAGGAGGAATCCGAAACCAGAGTGTGTAACAAAACGATAACCCTACTGCCACTCTCCTGTGTGCCCATTCTTAAAGAGAAGTCCTTAAGGGAACAGGGCAGTGCTGTTACTCAGTCGTTTTCAGAAATCCACCATTTGAAATGGCACAAGCTTGGCTTTCTGCCCCTACATTTATCAAGCAAGTTAATCATTCGCAGTCTGAACTTGTGCATATTTCCTCCAAAGGTCATCCCACTGCGCCCTGCAAGGCTTGCTCCTCCGGGCTGGCAGAAAGGCATTCTCTGTCGTGCCAGGCTCTGCACGATCCAAGAGGCGTGTCCTCCCAGGATCCTTTGCAAAGTCACAGATAAGTGTTGTAAAGTAATTATCAGACTGCACACAGCTTTGTTTTTTAAGTCTTTAAAAATAATTACTGCCCTAATGATGGCTTGGGAAGCCTTTAGGAAGGGACTGACCCCGGACTTGCCTCCAAACAAGAGTCCTTCGAATTTCAGAAGTTATTTGAAAACCAGAGTGCGTAGGATTTTTCGAAATTATTTGCAGCATAATCAAAAGTGAAAGAAAACCAACCGCTTCCCCTTGCTGCCCAAGGATATAGTCCCAACGGTTTGCGTCAGACAGAATCGAGCATCAGCAAATAACGTTCCTGTTAACAAATTTCCGCGCTGTAGTTTTAGGGGATGTTTGCTAAGGGGCCACGTGTAGAATAATACTTAACATTCATATAGTCCTTTCAGAGTGCTTCACATAACATCCTCTCCTAACCCTGACAACAACGAGTATTATTATCATTCCTATATTGTTTAGGTTGTCAACTTTTACCATTTTTTTCAAAAATCTGTGGGGCTGTGAGGATGAGCCCTCTAGGTTAGAGAGTTTCTACTCCAATAAGCAGTGATGTAGATTAATAACGGGATTAATAATAATAGGGACACGGGTGGCACTGTGGGTTAAACCACAGAGCCTAGGACTTGCCGATCAGAAGGTCGGCGGCTCAAATCCCTGCGACAGGGTGAGCTCCCGTTGCTTGGTCCCTGCTCCTGCCAACCTAGGAGTTCGAAAGCACATCAAAGTGCAAGCAGATAAACAGGTACCGCTCCAACGGGAAGGTAAACGGCGTTTCCGTGCGCTGCTCTGGTTCACCAGAAGTCGCTTAGTCATGCTGGCCACATGACCCGGAAGCTGTACGCTGGCTCCCTCGGCCAATAAAGCGAGATGAGCGCCGCAACCCCAGAGTCGGTCACGACTGGACCTAATGGTCAGGGGTCCCTTTACCTTTACCTTAGATTAATAACTACTACGGTCACATCCACACTACACATTTTAAAGCACATTTATACCACTTTCACAGTCATGGCATCTCCCCAAAAAGATGCTGGGCTTAATCATCGCAGTACTACAGTTTCCAGCACCCTCAACAAACTACGGTTCCCGGGATTCATGAATGCTAAAATGGTATAGGAATGCTTTAAAGGTATGGTATAGATGTGTGACCATAGGGAATACAATCCCAAGTAGGGATGGCTGACCTGTGACCTCCTGCCCTCCTTGACTATTGGACCCTAGGTAGGGTTGATGGGAGTTGCAAAAAGTACCTGGAAAGTCACAGGTAAGCCGCCCTGATAGACACTGTCCCAGGGAGACTATAACTTCCTTTCAGACAAACCAAGTTAGGCTGCAGTCCCATGCACATATTTCTGGAAGTACTGTATGCTCCTTTGAAAACAATGGGGCTCACATCTGATTAGACATGCAGTATTGTGCTGTTAGAGCAGAGTTTCCCAACCTTGGGTCTCCAGCTGTTTTTGGACTACAACTCCCATCATCCCCAGCTAGTAGGACCAGTGGTCAGGGACGATGGGAATTGTAGTCCAAAAGCAGCTGGGGACCAAAGTTTGGGAAACCCTGTGTCGGAGCAACACAAGACTAAAAAGATTCAACATCCTGTTTATTGAAGCACTCTGATGATTCTTTCAAGTCTGGAGTAATTTGTATGGAGTCTTCATACAATCATTATTATAGGCTGATGCTGAATTTACCTTTGTCTAGCTCTAAGCATTGAACCCCCGGCTTCTGATCAAAAGAGCTACAGAAATGTGAAAACTCTCTTAAGAAAGTTATTTTTCCTGTTTCAGATCCAGGTCCAGGAAGACGTCGCAATTCCTTGGACCGTAGAGGCACAGAACAAAAACCAAAAGAAATCACAACCCATTAGGAAAGCAAAGCGTCCTTTTTTCCTTTCCTCTTTTAAGCCAGCTTGGTTTCCAAGCTGCCTGCGTGCTGCCAACTCACCTGTGCGGAAATCGCAGGTGGAAAACAGGTACGCCGATGACCTGGATGGAAGCACCTGGTCGTTCCCAAAGAGCCCCTGGTTCTGCTCTCCCGCAGTAGAAAGTCAAGCAGGAATAGCTGCAAGCCGACCCCAGTGTCAACGGTTAGAAGGGAAGGGAATAAATGACATATAGCCTCAGTCCGTGGCAGTCCAGTGCAAAGGAAAAACTCTCTGGAACAAAGCTGAGGTCTCCTGGAGGGAATCAGGAGCTGCCAGAGAGCTCCAGGTGAATGTGGGTGGGTCCAAAGGTCACATGGTCAGAGGAGAGACAGGTAAAGCGGGGGGGGGGGTGGAGAGAGAGCAGGTCGTAGGAGGAGTCTAAAGATTCCATTGCCAGAATTCCTGTGTGAGTGTTGCTTTGTAAATTTGTCTAGCCACTTCTACAGAGAGAGCCTACGCATACACAGCCCTCACGGTATAATAGAAATCGCCGCTTTACTCGGAAGTGAAGGCATCTTTGTTTAATGCAGCACAAGTTCTGAGGCTTTAGAAGCAGGTTCCAGGGCTGAGGTGTGAAGTGAGCTGGCTGCCCTCCCATTTTTCTCTTTGTTCGAGGCCGGTTTCCTGAAGCAAAGGCACAGCTAAGCCACATAAGCAGTTGTACACATACAGTCCGTTTTCTACGAGGATCCATCAGCGGAATGGTTGGTCTTAAGGCTAATAGTATATCACACCCAAAGCCTGCGTGGGGATCTTTTAAGAGAGCTGAAATGAAGGAAGAAGTGCAATGTTCAGAGGCTAGAAATCGTACAGTATTCTGCGTATGTTGTTTTGTGCCTCCCCTTCCCTTGCTTGAGATTCTTGGCCTTCTCCATATATCCTTTTTATTGTGTACAGTCGTACCTTGGTTGACAAACAACTTGTGAGCCGAACGTTTTGGCTCCCAAACGCCGCAAACCCGGAAGTGAGCGTTCCGGTTTGCGAACGTTCTTTGGAACCCGAATGTCCGGCGCGGCTTCCGATTGGCTACAGGAGCTTCTGAACGTTTTGGAAGTCGAATGAACTTCTGGAACGGATTCCGTTTGACTTCCAAGGTATGAGACCTATTGGGGTGTTCCTGCTATGAGCCCCTCTATCCCACACTCAGAACAATATATCCTAAAGATACCACTGTTTTCACTGACCTTCATTCCAAGGAAACAGGAATCCTGGGTAAGCACAGGAGTCTCTCACTGCTCGGAGACCGGGGTTGCATACAACAGTCATATTACTGACAAGCTGAGGTAAAAGGTAAAGGTAAAGGGACCCCTGACCATTAGGTCCAGTCGTGGCTGACTCTGGGGTTGTAGCGCTCATCTCGCTTTATTGGCTGAGGGAGCCAGCATAGTTTCTGGATCATGTGGCCAGCATGACTAAGCCGCTTCTGGCGAACCAGAGCAGCGCACGGAAACGCCGTTTACCTTCCCGCCGGAGCGGTACCTATTTATCTACTTGCACTTTGACGTGCTTTCGAACTGCTAGGTGGGCAGGAGCAGGGACTGAGCAACGGGAGCTCACCCCATCGTGGGGATTTGAACCGCCGACCTTCTGATCGGCAAGTTCTAAGCTCTGTGGTTTAACCCACAGTGCCACCCGCGTCCCCGACAAGCTGATGACATACACCTAAAACAATTGGGGGGGGAATATGTAAATTATGGTGATGCCGAGTTGGATACTGAAGCTAAAAGTACTGCATTATGAGTAGGAGAAGCATGTGGTCAAAACACTTGAAAAAGCCCCTTCCCTGTTGTGATGACATGCTTTTTTTTCTTACCCTTTTGCTCACGGTTTCACTCTTTTTCAGCAAGACAGCTGTTACGGTCATAACCTGACCTATAATACATATTATGAGTTCCACTTCCTCATGTTTGTGTCGCTGAAACCAAATATTGCTCTTCAGTTTCCTGTACGGTCTATTTACCATGCAAGGCTGGGAGCTCCACTTCTCACCAAGGGGTTTCACATCGCTGAGCTTTATGTTTGCTGTGGTTTATTCCCCCCACCCTGCCCCACATCTGACTTTGGTGTCATAGAGGCAGGTACCATGACGCAGGGAAAAGAACCCAGACTTAGCTCTCCCACTTTCCATTTTACCTTTCAGCCCCCAATAAGCATATTTGAACCTCTTCTGGGTTCGCTTTGCTCATCTTCCTTTGGTGCACTAAGACCCTGAAGAACCCTAAACAAACTATATGTTATGTACTGACGTTCTCACCCTGGGCCAGCAGGGGGATACTGTAGATAGTTATGCAAATGAAGGATCGAAAGTGACGCTCAGTGATTGGATAGTTCATATGCAAATGAAGGATCGAAAGTGACGTTCAGTGATTGGCTAGTTACAGAAAATGGTTACTGTTGCATTCTAGTGGAGCTCTATATAAGCAGGCTGACTGAGCTCCTCAGTTCAGTTCTGTTCCAGCTTACAAATAAAGAGCTGCCTTGGAAGAATCGCTGTGTCGTCTGATATGTTCGCCCACAACTTAACACTATATTTCCCAGGGTTTTTTGGGGGTAGCCATGATTGTTTCAAGTGGTAAGATCATACTTTAAATGCTTGGTGCAATAGCAATGGAGAAGCATAACTGAACAACTACAAAAACAGAATGATATGTGGATGGTCCAGTATAAATCCACCACTTTGCGCTATTCTTGCACCTACTAGGGTAAGCTGTGCATAAAAATGCATATATTAGTGAAAATTACACACACAAATACATTACAGTAGGGGAAATGACTTTGCAAAAATGTGCTTCTTAGGGAAAGCTGCATACAAAAATGTGTATTTTAGGATCAGCATTAAAATGCTGATGAATTTTCACGAGAACTTTAAACAAACATCAATAAATCACAAACTAATGTGGAAATGTGAAGAACTGAATTTAAGACTGGAAGAGTGAAGAACTGAAATGGACAGATTTACTCATCCTTATCCAAAGCATCGCAGATTGCTGACTAAGCAAATCAGATCTCATCATGCTGTGAATCTCCATGTTCCCGCCAAACATTTGTGTCAGCCAGTTATGGGGAGGCACATATCAAACGATCAAAACAATCTACACTGTCAGCTGTTCTAATTGTCTGGGTGGAGAGATCACTCACAATCCGGTAGCTGTATTCCGTCAGCAAGCTGGTGTCGATTACACCTGTACACTGATCTTAATTCTGCATATTTCACTGTGGAGAGAAATCTTATTTTTTGGCAGGGATCCAGCTTGTGGCTTTTCTGTATTACTGATGTGTATAGTGTTTCCGTGACAGTTGTTTGTCTAGAAACGCCAGCACTTTCCAGTTTTGATTACTCAATCAATCAGCCGGGGTTTTTTAGCCCGGGGTGGTGGGGAACAGTGAGCCATAGGAATGGATTGTCTTTCCTTATAGGCTTTCAGTGTTCAAGAATCTCTTGAGGTCTGTAGTGCCAGGAACATGAGCTGAGACATAAGTGGAATGTATTTTGTCTGTGTTTTTGAATAGCACCTCCCTGCCAAGGTTTGATTTTTGAAATTAGATAACACTTAGGGCTGTTTCAGACTGTGATAGGAATTTTATGGTCTTAGATATATGGTAATGTTCATAACCGCACATACATAGATCAGCACAGGAAGACCAACCTGGAACCATTTTCATTCCTAAACTGACCAAATCTTTTCTCTGCAAGGTCAAAATAGAAAAGCCTCCCCATTGTCTTTTCCTTCACAAATCCTTTCTTAAGGGTATGTGTGTGTTTGAATAAGGTGTGAGCCTGTGACATGGACAGGAACTAAGTACCGGTATTTATCACTACAAAAGACTGGCCAGGCTCCTCAGGCAATCCAATCAAGTAACCTGCCAGACAGGAAATAAACAAGGATAAGTGAAAAACAATATTGAAATTTCTGTTTTTAAGACCACCTTTTCTGTGATGTATCTGAGGGGTGGTCTTAGGTTACACCCCTTCTGTGATGTATGTATGATGTTTCTGGGGGGTGGTCTTGATCTACAGGATGGGAATTTCAAAAGTCTTTATAAACCCTTGCACAGCATTTTTCTGGGTCCTCCTCCTTTCCTGCATGTGAGGGGAGCACCCTGTTGCAACAGATCAATAAAGATCAAGCTTACTAGCTGCTTTGCTTCTCAATATTCTCTGGTTGGCCTCTGTTATTTTCTCCTACCAATAGGGAGCCTATGTAAGGACTCTATATGGGCTCTTGGATACCCCATAAGGGAAAAGGGCATATTTTTGTTTACAACAAGACAATTGTGTGCATCACTCGACCTCAGTTATCTCTGACTACTAACTACCACCTGATGAGGACTTGCAGCAGAATGTGTCAGCTGATTCCACTGAATTGTGTTTTAAGGCACAATTGATATAATGATATGACAGTTCTGTAATGGCTCATTCACACATATAAGGAATGATATTTGATACTCTGGGTCATTCATGGGCGAAGCCAGGATTTTTGTTGCAGCAGGGAAGGCCTTTTGTTGGGGGGCTGGGAAGAACTTTAGCTATGTATTTTTATTGATTTTCATTGATTTAAGGGGGCGCAGGGAGCAGCATCTGCCCCTCCCTGCCCCTCCGTCCAGATTCCAAGTTCTTTTCATGCTTTTCTTCCACAGTTACACCCCTTTCACACTCACAGGCATGCCTAATCCATGTTTAAAGTGAAGCAAAATTGATTTAAAAACACACAACAAAACCATGCATGCACACACCTCTCTGTTTAGCTGCACAATGGAAGCTCAGCACAGAGGCATAAATTAGACTAAGGGTAACTTTGTTTCTGCCATTTTTCTTTCTTTCATCAACACCATTCTGCCCCTGTCCCCGCCCCCCTTTATATTGTTAAAGGTGTCCCAGTTCTCTAAGCAGGACTAAGTTTCAGGAGTACAGTGGTACCTCGGGTTAAGTACTTAATTCGTTCCAGAGGTCGGTTCCTAACCTGAAACTGTTCTTAACCTGAAGCACCACTGTTCTTAACCTGAAGCACCTGAAACTGTTCTTAACCTGAAGCACCTCCTGCTGCCGCCGCGCCGTTGGAGCACGATTTCTGTTCTCATCCTGAAGCAAAGTTCTTAACCTGAAGCACTATTTCTGGGTTAGCGGAGTCTGTAACCTGAAGCGTCTTTAACCTGAAGCGTATGTAACCCGAGGTACCACTGCACAGCACTTAATCAGGTTTGGTTTCCTTTGGAAAGATACAACTGAAGGTTTATTATCAACCTTCCATTGATCAGGTTGCACTTCTTATATCGTAAATATACACAAATGCCTTAAGCAAGTAATATTTCCCCTCTATGTTATGC